GGCCCTTAAAGAATTCTAGCAGAGTAATGCTCATAGAATGAAACAAATGATTCCTTTCCAAGGTGACTGTACTCATTTACAGGGTCATGTTTGAAAAATAGAATCCAGCCATTAATATCAACGTTTGTGACTTTATAGAGTTTCAATAAACAACAACAACGGGCAGAAAAAAAAATGTGAAAATCCACCATTCAGTTGTATTCTGCTTTAGTACTGGGATTTCACAAAGTGGGAGGACATCATCACTGTATCAGTGACTAACTTCTGATAAGCGTATGGAAATACAAGCCGCCCAGCTGGGTAAAATCCACGCTGTGGAAAGGAAACGTGTTGCGGATAACGTCTTGACATTTGAGATAGTTAACCAGGAGGGGAGCGGCAGAGACCGGAGTCCGCCCTCCCGCCTCCCCGCCACCGGCCCCACCCGAGGGACTTGCAGTTGGCCCCGCACCCCGACAGCAGTGCCAAGTCACAACTGCAAGGGACTTCCTCTGCTCGGGCGGGGTGGACCTGAAGGCCAGCGGGCCCCTGTCCCTCCTCCGGGCCTCGCTGCGCTCCGGAACCCGGCCGAGCGCCCCCAGGCCGGGCCTCGGTCGCCCGCCGCGCGCACCTGAGGATGTTGTCGGCGTAGGTGAGCAGCAGCTTGGAGGCCTCCAGGAAGGTCTCCGGGGTGTTCTGGCAGAGCTCGGCCACCGCCGGGGACGCCGCGCCGGAGCAGCTGCCCAGCGCCGCCGCCGCCGCCGCCATGCCTGAGCGCCCGCGGGCGTCGCCGCCCCTCGCGCGACGCGTCCCGCACTGAGCAGGCGCCTCCTGCGCGGCCAACCCCGCAGCTGGTCGGGAGGGCGGGGCGAGCGGCAGGACGGGAGCACCGCGGAGGAGTCCGGCGCTGAGGGCGGCGGCTGCTTCGGAAGCGGGGTGTCTGACCACGGGGGCGGGGCCTTGGACCCGGAGGGGCGGGGCCTGCAGTCAGGCACCGAGCTGGGACGAGAGGACAGGGCTCTAGTGCAATGACAAGACACCTTTTCCCCTTTATTTTAAACAAAAACAGAGAGAATTTCTATATACCAAACACTATAGTGAGAAATGCTCAGGAATTAAAGCGGGGACAGGAACAGTTGGGGCCTAATGGTATCAGCTCAGCCTTCCCCTTGAAAGATAGGATGGGGCCATAGGAAACTACGGTCTGGAAACTAATGTCATAGCATTAGTACTGTAATAAAAATGGCAATCCACAAAATCATTGAAAACACCATTTTGTTTTTAAAATTCACTTAAAATTTAAGACCTTACAAATATCTCTTTACCAACAATTCTGGTAACATCTTGGAGTAACAGAAAAAAGAAAGAAAAGCAAAAGACATGTTCTTGAGTAAAGTATCTTTTGAATACCACCATTTACGAAGGAAGTAAGATAATTCATTACATTAAGGGACTTCGTCACACTCTTGTATCTGCTTCTTTCACTTAAGTTGAAGATATTTTGATTCTTCAGTGCCTTTAGAAAGGTTAAAGATGTTAAACTACATTAATCTCTTTATATCCATTATTGCTTCAAACAATGAAAGTGTTGGTCTTAAACCAGCTTTGAACTTCTTATTTTTTTATTTGTCAATTCAATATAATTAACTCCCCCCCAAAAAAATCAGCTTTATTGAGTATAAATTTCTTTAGAGTTGAGACACAATGGCATTATTCTCAAATGGAAAAAGAATCCACTAAAATTTCCCCAAAGTCTTTTTTTGTCACACATACTAAAGAAAATGTTGACTCCAATAAAGACCATCAGCAATGAGAGGGGTTGTAGTCCTTCAAGAACTTGATATCATCAGAATCACCAGAAAACTTGTCAGAAAGACAAATTTTAGGGCCCTATTTTAAAAAAGGAAAGCCCAGCAATCTGTAGTAACAAGTCCTTCAGTTGATCTTGATGCATAGTAAAATTTGAGAAGCGCTAATTCAGAAGAAGGACAATTCATGGAGGTGGGACAATGTGAACAGAGTCCTTAAACAGAAAGATTAAGGAGCTGAGCAGTGGAAAGACTTCCTGTGAGAAAACCCCTCCACACTTAATCAGATCAAGGTCAGTCTCCTAGAAGAGTATCCTTCTCAACATTTCCTGCATCCTCCTCCTTGTCATTGCCTTATTTCAGGGTCTCATCACCTCACATCCAATCTTAATTCTCTCCCCTATGTCCATTCCCACATCCTTTCTATCAGTCCTGTTCACTGCTGTGATTTATTCTAAAACAGACATCTGATCATGTTATCCTCCTGGTAAAAGTTTTGGATGGTTCCTCTTTCCCACATTCTATAGTCAACTGGTATCCAGACCAAATAGGTAATTTAAATTATGAAGAGGCTTTATTCAAGTCAAAAAGGAGTAGGGGAGACACTGGTGAGGGAAATGAGAGTTAACCATGTCCTTCCTAGGGGAATTTAGAATCATTAAAACATTGACACTCAAAATTAATACCAGGAATGCTGGCATATGATCTCTGACCTATAGGATCAAATCAAAAGTCTCCATATATCACCCACGGCTTTTGTGTTCTGGCCCCTGCCTTACTCTCATGCTTTTATGGTTGCTTTGTTCCACTCCCACTTCTCAATTTTGACATTGGTCATATTGAACCAGTTCACAGTATATGGAAGTTACCCTGACACTATGGCTCCAGGCCTTGGTTCTACTCCTATAAGGAGGCCATTTCCCAAGCATTTATTGGGCAAGCATTTATTCATTTCCAAGATATAGTTCAAGCATCACTTTTTTGAAGATTTACCAGATTTTAATGAGGTAGCATTGACTTTATTGTCCCCTTTGTGTTATAATATGCTAATTTCATGTTTCAATTACAGAGTCAATTTCAGCAGTATGTACATGTTTGTTTCCGTGGCTGTATCCCTCTACTAGACTATGAACTTTTTGAAAACAGGAACCACACCCCTATTAATAATTGTAATCCATCTTCTAGCCCAAGGTTGGGAAATAAATGGATGTTTGTTGAAAATACAAGCACAGGTATAAAAATGAGAAAAATTAGGATCAATGAGTAGATAATGGTTTGGGACTATAGCTCAGTGATTAAGTGCTTGCCTAGAATGCTTGAGGCCCTGGGTTTGATGCCTAGGACCAACAAAAAACAAAATACTGAGAAGGTTAGTTTTCTGGGTCAAAAACTTTTTAACAGAACATGGGAGTTATATTTGTAAAGACAGTTTTGAATCAGAATATAAAGAATTTAAGGCAAACCTAAGAAGTCTTTACAGGAACCTATGATAAGTGGAGCCAATTTGAAGATTTGGTTAAAAAAAAAGACACCATGGCATTGCAGCAATATGATATTCTAGAAAACAGAGCTACTAGAATATCAGAAAATGTCCCACTTCTTTCCAAATGAAAGTAAAAGTGGTCAGAGGTAAAAATTAAAATGATGGCCTTTTTACTTTTCTATAAAATTTTAATTGATTTGTCATTTCTTGTCCAAGATGATTTTTGTGTACTAAAAAGAAAAATATAACAGCATATTAAAACTGTGTTTCATGAATTTTGCTTCAAAGAAAACATTGAGAGTCTTTTTACATTATTTAAAAGTAGGGCACAGCAATGAAAAAAGAGAATGTAGCTCTCACCCATCAAACTTTATCATATAACTACATGTGTTTTAGTTTTACTCATGTGTTTAAGAGCTCTATTTTCACTGAATAAGGGTCTTACTAAGAACTGACTGGTTAGGCATGATCAGGGATTTTTTCGAGGTCAAACTAGGCTTCCCTAAACTATTTTAGATAAAGTAAATTTCCACTCATTTACATCCAAGTCTAACTAAGAAAAAGATAAGCTTGACCCAAATTATTTTCTAGGGGTGGGAAAGAAAGGAAAGTACTCCACTTGGAAACAATGGCTTCAAGAGCTATTACCCAGAAAGAAACATAAATATGACTAGATGGTTCAGAAACACATTCTATGGTCAGCTCTGTATCAAAAGATCAACAATAAAACATCTGAAACAGCAAATATCAATAAAGGTAAATAAATATCACCTTGCTCACTTTTTATATTTTCAGGTCTGAGCAAATAGTTTATAAATTTTTCCAACACTTAGAAATAAATGTCTCTATTCATCTCTATTCTTGTTTCCATTTCTGTCAGACATTGGATGTGGTATTGTGAGCATCGCCTAGTTAGGGAAACAATTATTAGAAAAGCATTATTTGTTTACTGTAAAAAACAGCCAGGGCTCAGTGGCAGCGCCCGTAATCCGAGCGGCACAGAGGAGGTTGAGCAGGAGGAGGTGGTCAAAGCCAGCCTCAGCAAAAGTGCGGGCACTAAGCAACTCAGTGAGACCCTGTCGCTAAATAAAATACAAAATAGGGCTGGAGATGTGGCTCAGTGGCTGAGTGCCCCTGAGTTCATTCCCGGGAACCAAAAAAAAAAAAAAAAAGTAGAAAGTCTTAAGAAAAAATAAGGAAAACAACATAATCATTGTACATCCTTGCAGACCTTTAAAAACTATTTTTTAAAAACGGATATGCTGCATACTGTTCTGTAACTCGCATTTAACAGTTTCAACATCTTTGCACATTAATATTCACCTATAGAATTATTTTTAATGGCTTCATAGCATTTGAATGTGCTACAAATTGCACAACTAATTTTCTGATGTTGGCATTTTGGTTAGTCTACTTTTCTGTTACAAATAACTTGGAGCCTATAATAATTTCCTTTCTTAGGATTTTCAGTGATAATGCCCTTTAGGATTTTCAGTGATAACTGAAAATCCTAATCAGTTGTCTACAACATGAGACTAGAAGGGCATTATCATTGAAAATAAAACAACGTTTCTTTGTGAAGGGCAAAAACGCTATCTTTCGCGTTATTTGCAGGTCTTTGGCGATCGGCGTATCCCAGAGGTTCGTGACAGAGTCTTTCCACGCACGCGTTCAAGGGCCCAGCCACCTCGGACCGCCCGGTATCATACAAGGTGACGCGGCGCAAGGTCAACGGACTGAGCGCGCTCCGACGTGACGCACGTGAGCGAGCGCGTACGTATGTACGCGCGTGTACGCGTGCGCATGCTCACGCGAGAGTCAGCGCGGCGGAAGGGCCGTGCGGTCGTCGAAAGCCCTTTAAACAGGTATCAACTGCTTGTTACCCGTGGGTTTCAGTGCCTTCATCCCCAAATCGTGTCGGGGTTGAATTTCCACAGGGAAGTCCGAGGACCCGCGGCTTAATTTCTTTTCGTGCAGCTATGCTTTCTTCATAGTGTTTGAGAGGCACTGCAGGGAATGGCCACGCTTCTTTAACCCCCGCCCCTGGCCTTCGTAGTTCTTCGGAAGTGATTGGCTGATCCTATTTTCCTCTTGCAGAGGAGAGGTTTAGAAAGGTGGAGGGACTTGTCCGTCCTCCTGGCATAAGCCTAGCGGTAAAGTGGATTCTCAACCTGAGTGCCTAGATGCTCAATCTAGGACTCCTGGTTCTGGGTGGCCTTTCGAAACTCTTTTTATCCCTAGGTATTGAGGATTGATAAAGCCCATTTACCCGCCTCCAAGGGCTCTGAAATGTGTTTTTGTTCCCTTTAAGCCAGAAATACTATTTAGAGTCCGTTTTTAGCAGTCCTGAACAAAACGCTTTCTGCAGCCCGTATCAGTCTAGGAGTGGCTTCACATTTTTCATTGTACATTCTATTTTATTAAAAAAAATAAATCCTTAATTCGTTTGTCTTCGAATGTCTGAAGGTGCTTACAATCTAAAGCACTGCAGTACTCAAGGGAATTAAGTCCAAGCTGATGAATAGATTAAAATGATGTTACATTATTTTCTCTGCTTATTAGAAGCTTATATCAAGCATTCAAAAAAACCAAACTTCTGCATTATTAAACTCTTCAGCTCTTTAAACAATGAATACTTCCTGACTGTATTGTGGTCTGTTACAGGAATGTGTTTCTGATCATCTGAATCTCAACCATGTTGTCAAACTCCTTACATTTCCTAAAAATTACAAGCAGTCGTTTTCTATCTTCAAGATTATGCCATCAATTAATAAATGAAAAGAGGTTTTTTGGAACTGTGCCAACATCCAGAAGAGTTGTCATTACAGGAATTGGTTTAGTGACTCCCCTTGGTGTTGGAACTCAATTGGTATGGGAGCGTCTTCTCCGAGGAGAAAGTGGAATTGTTTCACTGCTTGGTGAAGAATATAAGAGTATTCCTTGTAGTGTTGCTGCTTATGTGCCAAGAGGTTTTGATGAAGGTCAGTTTAATGAACAAAACTTTGTGTCCAAATCAGATATTAAGTCCATGTCTTCTCCCACTATCATGGCCATTGGGGCAGCAGAGTTAGCCATGAAAGATTCTGGCTGGCATCCTCAGTCAGAAGCTGATCAAGTGGCTACTGGTGTTGCAATTGGCATGGGAATGGTTCCTCTGGAAGTTGTTTCTGAAACTGCTTTGATGTTTCAGACAAAAGGTTATAATAAAGTCAGCCCATTCTTTGTCCCTAGGATTCTGATTAATATGGCAGCAGGCCAGGTCAGCATTCGACATAATCTCAAGGGCCCCAATCATGCAGTATCAACAGCCTGTACCACAGGAGCTCATGCTGTGGGAGACTCTTTTAGATTTATAGCCCACGGTGATGCTGATGTGATGGTGGCTGGAGGTACAGATTCTTGTATTAGTCCTTTATCTCTTGCTGGGTTTTCCAGAGCCCGGGCTCTGAGCACAAACTCAGATCCTAAGTTAGCATGTCGACCATTTCATCCAAAGAGAGATGGTTTCGTAATGGGAGAAGGTGCAGCTGTGCTGGTGCTGGAAGAATATGAGCATGCTGTTCAAAGAAGGGCCCGGATCTATGCAGAAGTTTTGGGCTATGGACTCTCAGGTGATGCTGGTCACATAACTGCCCCTGATCCTGAAGGAGAAGGTGCATTAAGGTAAAGACCCAGTGTTCAAAATAATTTTTTCACATAAGACACTTTATTATAGTCTCAAATTAGAGAAAATTATATCTGGTCTTGATGCACAGTATCTTCATTGTTTTTCTATTCTGGACTTAAAAGTATTTTGAATTCTTTACTTGAAGTATTGGAAGTCATGATTGAATCTCCTTACATAAATTGGATTTTAGTCAATGAAGTTGTGAAGATCCTGTGTATTTTGCCAGTTTTCCATGCCTCAGTTTGTGCTTAATAACTATCAGTATGCTCTCTCCTATAATCCTTTGTTCTTCCATTAGACTAGGACAGTAACATGAACCCTTCTAGATATATCGGATTGCTTTAGGTTGAGTTCTGTTCTTTTCAGGTCAGTGCTTCTCAGCCTTTTTATCACTCAGGAATCTTACTAAAATGCTGATTCGGACTCAGCAGATCTAGGTAGCACTTTAGATTCTTTATTTTAAACTAACTCCTGGATTGCAGTGATGCTACTGGCCTAAAGGCCACATTTTGAAAATTGAGTTAATTGTGGAAGAGAGTAAGTAATGAATTAAGGTTTTAAAAAGTCTTTGATAATGAATTAGCTAATAGTTTAGCTTTTTTCAATCATAAGTTTTACGCAGTTAAATTAGCTAGGATTTAGCAAACTTTTTCTGTGAAGGGACAAATAATAGATATTTTTGGTATTGTAGGCCATAGAGTTTCTTTTGTAACTGTTTGTGAAAGCATCCTCAGACAGTAGTACCTAAGTGAATGGGTGTGAATGTGTTCTAATGAAAGCACGATTTTTACAAAAGGAGGTATCGGAACAGAGCCATAGTTTACTGACCGCTATATAGTTTTCTGTAGGAGAATTCTTTTAGCACACTTAAAATTATACCCTGAACTGTCTGTTAATAAATAGAAATTGCAGCTCAGAGATCAGGAACTAAAAAAAGTGTTGACATCCAGAAGATTTTAAAAGGTTCTTTCAGAGAATTTTAAAAAAAATTTTTAGATTTACTTTTTGGCTTCACAATTATTTATTTAGGATTCTTATATCCTAAATAAAGAGGATTTTGAGAGTTTATTCAAAGCACTGAAATAGTAGTAGATATGCTAAGTTTTATATTTAAATGTGAAAAAAAATTAAAAATTTTATTGTTCAATTTTTTTTTTGGCAGTGCTGGACATCAAACTAGGGCCTTGCACATGCTAGGCAATTGCTCTGCCATTGAGCTACATCCCCAGTTCTAAAACATAATTTTAAATCTTTCTCCATATTTTAAATCTCCACCTTGCCCTTCCCATAAAAAAATTTCTAATAATTGTTTTAGCGTTGCATCAACATGTTTTTTTCCTGAGGAAAAATGCCAGTTCAAATACATGGAATTATATTTTATTTGTGATTGTACAGTCTATGAGTTAGTGTGTTTAATGCGTGGTGATGAAAGAATCTTAAGGTGCTTGTGTGACTCGTTATTCCCAAAGAGATGGCATTCTAACTTACATGATAATGAAAGGTGGTGTTCATCCAGTGTACTCTGATACTTACATTTCTTTCACATAAACCATTCAGGTAAACAGTCTGTCAGCAAGTGCAGTGACATACACCTGTAATTCCAATGACTTGGAAGGCTGAGGCAGGAGGTTTGCAAGTTCAAGGCCAGCCTCAGCAAGGTAGCAAGACCCTGTCTCAAAATAAAAAATAAAAAGGGCTAAGAATGTACAGTTCAGTGGTAGAATATCCTTGGTTCAATCACCAGTACCAGAAAAATAAAACAATAACAAACTATTAAAATTAACTTAGTTTTGATAAGTTTAATTTCCTTTCTTATTAGATGTATGACTGCTGCTATAAAAGATGCAGGGGTTCAACCTGAAGACATATCCTATGTCAATGCACATGCTACTTCCACACCATTGGGAGATGCTGCTGAAAACAAAGCCATCAAACATCTCTTTAAAGACCATGCATATGCCCTTGCAGTTTCCTCAACGAAGGGAGCCACAGGACATCTTCTGGGAGCTGCAGGGGCAGTTGAGGCAGCTTTTACTGCATTAGCTTGTTATTATCGAAAACTACCACCTACTTTAAATCTGGATTGCACAGAACCAGAATTTGATCTGAATTATGTTCCGCTAAAGGCACAGGAATGGAAAACTGATAAACGATGTATTGGACTCACCAATTCTTTCGGTTTTGGGGGTACTAATGCAACACTTTGTATTGCTGGTATATAGTAATTTAATTAAACAGTATTTTTTAAAATGTGGAAATAATATATCCATGCATATGTTTCTATATCAAAATCCAGATACCCTTTATCTCTGTTAGGGTTGCTTAACCTTAACTATTGATATTTGGTGTAGGATAGTTCTTTATTGGGGAAAAAGGACCTGTCCTGTGCATTGTATGATGTTTTACAGCTTCCTGGTCTCTTCCTAGTAAATTACAGTAGCAAATCCTTCCCTAATTTGACAACCAGAAATCTCTAAACATTGCCAGATGTTTTCTGGGGACAAAATAACCCACATCTGAAAACTGCTGATCCATAATTTCCTAATACTCTAGTTCAAACAGCTTTCTGACATTTCATCTTCTGTTCCTTTCAGAGACATTTAAAGAAGAGCTACTTTATACTAGGCAGGGTTGCTGCATGGTACAACTCCAGGTGCACCATCCACATATAGTATATTGAAAGGAATACCAGTATATATCTGGAAGTATGCATCATTGATCAACATTCTTTTGAGTATAGCTCAATCTATTTACCTTTTGCCTATGTAGGTCTGTTCATATCATCCACACTTAATTCAGTAAATTAGTGGAATTTCCCTAAACTCCTAAGCTATCAATTCTCTAAAAGAAGAAAGTGAAATTGGTTTGATATTTCGTATTCTTTTTGTATTTAATCTGGTACCCAGTGATTAATGGAGATAAGGATATTTGGAGTAGAAATTGTTAGTGACTTAGACAGTATCCCCTCAGCCCATCTTTAACCTCATTGTAGCTGTAATAGTATCCTGGGTTCTCCCAGCTTCCTGCCGCAAGTGCTGGTAGTCCCTTTTTTGCCTTGGGGATTTCTGTAAAGCCAAAGGATCAGGATCTCGTTCATCCCCAGAAGACTGGGGTACAAGTACCCCAGAGACAACACTCAACCAATGAAGGATGACAATTGGTGGGTAAGTGCTTCAGTCTCCTTTCTGAGGGATAGCTATGTTTCTCTACAGTTCCTCAGAGGGGTCCCCAATGAAATGGGGGCCCACAGCATTAACCAACCCAGTAACACTGGTATTTTTCCTCCTAATGCCTTATCCCTGATTTATAATACTATTCCTATGAGTCATCTTCCAAACAAACCACGTTTTCTCAGGCTCTGCTTTCTGAGTAACTCAAAATTAAGGACATTTTTGTTGTAATGGGAATTTATATATCAACAGAATTGAGTGGAAAGAGGATAAAGGGAATATGTGTATTTCTGCTGGCTATATTTCCTACCCACTGACTGTGACTACAGTACTTTATTCCAATATACCTAGCATTCCATTTATGTACTCATAACTATAATCATTTTTAATACATGATAAAATTTATTTGAGATTTACTAGATGCTAGCATAGACTGATGTTTTACTGGTCACCAGTGATAAAGGAATGGGTCAGGAAGCTGTGTACATATGTGGGTAAAGGTTTCAGGTTAAAGGGGAAGATGCAGAAGGAAAGATGTTCCAGCTAACAGAAATTCAGTGTGGAATGGTCTAGAAGTTAGAACATTTGTTCTGAACATAAATATACTCTGAGATTGGGGGATTAAGAGATAATCCTAGAGGATCTCGTATAGGTCAGGTCACACAGAACCTTACAAATTTTAAGGCAGTAAGAATCCTGTAACTAGTTTTGTGGTTCTGTTTCTGTGACTGAACCCTGACTGATAAATGTGAAGAAGAATGGGGAATATTGGGAGTAACACAATCACCTTTTGTTTAAGAGACATCACTTTGACTATGCAGTGAAGAACAGACTGCGGGGGAAGCATGTTTCCCATAGGAGAATAGAGTCAGAAGGGTTTTGCGAAATCTAGGTAAGGAAAGATGGTGGTCTGGATGAAACAGGATATTTTGACCCAAGTTTCTTCCAAAGTTGAAAATCTCGTCTGTGTTGTTAAATCAATTTTATTATGGCATCATTTGTATACAATAAAATACACTCATTTTTAAATGTATAGTTCAGTGATTGATTTTTGAGAACTATACGCCTACACATTTAACTATCACTTCAGTGAAAATAAAGAACGTTTTCATCACCCCAAAATACTTGTGTCCCTTTTCAGTTAGTGTCTCCCTAATGGTACATCATCTCTGAAGAACATTCTGTCTAAAATTTACCTTTTCTCGAATTTCATGTAAAGGGAGATATACAAAAATTAATCTTGCATCTAGCCTCTTCCACAGTGTTTCTGAGGTCCATGCATGTTATTGAGTTTATCAGCAATTAATTCCTTTTATTGCTGAATTTTTTTATTCAATTCATATAGATGGTCAAGACTTTTAAATTATTTTCTGTATCTCATTGTTATTTTTTAAACAAGTATGTATTCTCTTTTGAATTTAAGTAAGGCAAGAGACAGGAATGGTGGTATGTGCCTGTAATCCCCGCAACTCGGGAGGCTGAAGCAGGAGGATCGAGAGTTCAAAGCCAGCCTTGGCAACTAAGTGAGTCCCTAAACAATAGCAAGACCCTGTGTCTTACAAAAAAAAAAAGTATTAAAAAGGGTGGGGCGGGGGTGGGGGGGTGGGGGTGGGGGTGGGGAGGGGTGCTTGGGTTGTGGCTCAATGATAGAGCGCTGCCTAGCACGGTGAGGCCCTGGGTTGGATCCTCAGCACTACTTAAAAATAAATAATTAAAGATATTACACAGGAAAAAGGGCTGGGGATGTGGCTCAGCAGTCGAGCACCCCTGGGTTCAATCCCTGGTACACACACACACCAAAAAAATTAAAATAAAAAAATGAATTTTTAAATTCTCTAGGACAGGGGGCTGGGGATGTAGAGCTCAGTGGTATAGTGATTGCCTAGCATGCTCAAGGCTGTAGGTGTGAGCCCCAGCACTGTTAAAAAAAAAAAAAAAAATACAGAACCAAGAGTGAAGATGGCAGATTAGAGGAAGGGTGTTCATCGCAGCAGTACCTCAGTACCAGCCCTACAAACCAGGAACACTGCTCCTCAACAAGGTAGGTAACTAAGGGAACTCACTGAAACTTACTACTGGACTGTAAAAGAAACCACAGAGAGGGGGATGGGGATGTGGCTCAAGCGGTAGCGCACTGGCCTGGCATGCGTGTGGCCGGGGGTTCGATCCTCAGCACCACATACAAAACAAAAATGTTGTGTCCGCCAAGAACTAAAAAATAAATATTAAAAAATTCTCTCTCTCTCTCAAAAAAAAAAAAAAGAAAGAAAGAAACCACAGAGATATATTAAGTTTGACCATAATATAAGAAAGAAATAATATGTGAGGAAACACACCAACTTGGGTGCTAGCAGCAGTAGCAGTGGCTGAGTGGTGGGAAACACAGGCAAGCAAAGAAGACAACTTGGTTTTCAGAGAAAGAAAAAAGAAGAATTTGGCTTTGGGGGAAAACCTGTGGATTAGATGGTAAGTCTGGTCCAAATGGACACATCTATTGGGAAAACTGTTCAGTTACCCCACCCACCCAAAACCATTCACCCCAGTGGCCAATAGTTCCGCAGGAAGCAGGATCCCTGGTGCGGGAATCACCTGTAAGCTCTACACACCAGAAAGCAGAGACAGGCGATCAGGAACTCATAAAGAAAGTTGCCAGCAGTCACCTATCATGACCCCCAGAATGTTCCTGAATCAGAATGACTGAAATAGGCACAAAGAAAATTGTACCTGGCCCATACAAGCTCTGGGTACAAAGAGGGGAAAACTCCGTTTGTTGCTGGTGCCCCATAGAGTTATTGGGAAGATGTCTAGGTTAGCCATAGAGGAGCATCTGCACTCCAGGGTGGATACTGGGTGATTTATATTCATAGAGATGAAAGTGAAGCCTGTAGAGGTTTAGTTCTTACGTTCTAACAGTGAATTTTACCAGAGGCTTTAGAGATCCAGATGTCCTGCAGAGACTAGCATCTCCCCAGCATCAGGGCCATGGACCAACTCTCAAATATACACAGATTTCCAAAGTTCTGCCAAGACTGATCCCCAACTAATGAACTTCCAATTAAGAACTCTGCACTCATCCCCCACTACAGGAATACGTAATTTGTCAGTATGCCCCAGACTATCCCACCCTAAACTGGTAGATAAGAAGCTGAGATCTCCTCTGACCAGCTTTTCCTCCTAGCCACAACACCTAGCAGTTAGGTGAGGAGCACAAAGATATTGGTCTTTAAAAACCCCCAGCCTTTGACCCCAGGGTTACGAAGCCAAAAATAAATAAATATAAAGAATGAAAATTTATCCCTGCCAACCATTATGACAACTTCAGTAAACAAGCCCTTTATTTCTCATTAATATTTTTCTTATTTTTTTTCTTTTATGTTCCCCAATTTTTAATATATTGTATTTTTTTACTTTTCTATTTAAAAGAATTTAACTTTTTAAATTTTTTCACATCTCATTATTTTTTATTTTTTTCCATTTTGCAAGATTGTGTGTGTGTGTGTGTGTGTGTGTGTGTGTCATGATATGGATACATTAAAAAAATATGTATTCATATAATTTTACTTTCACTTTAATTGCATTCCTCTGCACCTATTTATTATGTAGTCTTGGTTTGACAGGTGGAGTATAATTACATGGGATTGAGTTGTTTTGATCTTATATTTGCTTGTTTGTTTACACCTTGAACAAATCTTATTTCTCTTCTTCAATCACTTCCTCCACTAATAGTGAAATTTTCCTTTTCCCTTTTCCTCTTTCATTTATTACTTTTTGTTAATTTTTATTCCTTCTCATTTACAACCCAAATCTGCTACCTATCTCTGCCTCTCTGTTCACTTTTTAAAAAACAAATTTAAACTCTCTCTTGCCTTTGTACCCTATTTTCTCTTCATGTAAGAAACTATAATTCCACTAAATAATAGAATTATATAATTTACATAATTTCTACCTCATTCATGTTGTGATTATTAATATTATTTTAGGTATCAGGAATTGAACTCCGGGGCACTTGACCATTGAACGACATCCCCAGCCCTAGTTCATATTTTATTTAGAGATAGAACATTTTGATATGAAAGAAGATCTAAGGAATGAATTAAGAAAGCAAATATAGGAGATGAAAGACCATTTCAATAAAGAAACAGAGAAAAGAAACCAGAACTCCTGAAAATGAAAGACACATTGAGTCAAATTAAAACTTCACTTGAAAGCATCACCAACAGATTTAATAATGTAGAAAATAGGACTTCATAAACCTTGAAGTCTGGGTATATGAACTTGAATACTCATTAAGCAATAAAGGAAAACAAAAGAACCATGATTAGAATATACAAGAACTCTGGGGCAGCATCAAGAGAACAAAACTCAGATTCAGGGCTGGAGGTGTGGCTCAAGCGGTAACGCACTCGCCTGGCATGAGTGCGGCGCTGGGTTCGATCCTCAGCACCACATACAAATAAAGATGTTGTCTCTGCCGAAAACTAAAAATTAATCTTAAAATTCTCTCTCTCTCTCTCTCTCTCTCTCTCTCTCTCTCTCTCTCTCTCTCTCTCTCTCTTTAAAAAAAAACTCAGATTCATAGAAAAATCCCTATATCAAAAGTGAGATAGACATAAACATATGGAAGGTATACAGGACATCAATTAGACAGGATCAGAACAGAAATTTGACAAGACACATCATCATCAAAATGCCTAACAGAGGAACTAAGGAAAGAATATTAAAAGCTTTAATAGCTACCTTGATTCTCTCATGTTTATGAGCATTATAGTTATTCCTGCTAATTGGTTCATTTTGACAAAATCATGCATGCATGGAATTTGATTTCCATACCTGCTCACCCCACTTTCCCTCCAGAAATGAAACTGAAACAACAATTAAAGCCTTTCCATAAGAAAACTTAAGACCTGGTAGATTCTCAGCCATGTTCTACCAGATACTTAAAGAAGAACTAACACTAATCTTTCACAAATTATTCCATAAAATTGAAAGGAAGGGAACACTCCCAAATATATTCTATGAAGCCAGTATAACCCTGATACCAAAACTGGACAAAGACATATCAAGGAAAGAAAACTACAGACCAATATCTCTGATGAATATATATGCAAAATCCTTAGGAAAATATTAGCAAGCTATATTGAAAAACACATAAAGAAGATGATACACCATGATCAAGTGGGTTTCATCATAGGGATGCAAGGTTGGTTCAACATATTCAAATCAATAAATGTAAATCACCACTTAAATTGAATTAAAGGGCAAGAATTATATGATCATCTCACTAGAAGCAGAAAAGGCCTTTGATAAAATTCAGCACCTATTCATTTAAAAAATGCTGGAGAAACTAGGGATGGAAGGAACTTATCTCAATGTCATAAAAGCTAGTATGATAAACCCAAAGCCAACACCATACTAGATGGAGAAATTTTAAAAGCATTTCCTTTAAATTTACGAATAAGACAAGGCTGTTCATTCTCACCACTTCTATTCAATAGTTCTCAAAATTCTAGGCAGAGCAATAAGGCAAGAGAAAGAAATTAAAGGGATACAAATAAGAAAATAAGAAGTCAAAGTATCTGTTTGCCAATGACATGATCCTATATGTAGAAGATCAGAAAAACCTCACCAGAAGATATCCAGATAGATGAATTCAGAAAAGCAGCAAGTTACGAGATCAACTCTTTTCTATCCTCCAACAATGATTCTTCTAAGAAATTAGGAAAATCATTCCTTTCACAATACCCTAAAAAAGAATACTCGAGAATTTATCTAACTAAAGAGGTGAAAGATCTCTACAATGAAAATTATAGAACATTGAAGGAAGAGATTGAGATGACTTTAGAAGATGGAAAAAACTTCCCATATTCTTGGATAGGAAGAATTAATATTGTCAAAATGGCCATACTACCAAAAGCAATATACAGATTTAATTAAATCTCCATCAGAATACCAATGACATTCTTCACAGAACTAGGAAAAAAAAAGTCCTTAAATTCATTTGGAAGAATAAGAAACCCAGAATGGCCAAAGCCA